ACTATTTTCAAAAAGTGTCCAATTTTTTCAGTATTTTGTGTTTTTCTCAATGAGGAAAGATCTGTGTGACATTATTTATATATATTTGTAAAGCTAAGCAAAGAGGCTACATCTTTTGTTAACAGAGCTAAGGGAGTGCCTGTGTTTCTGTGACTGTGGGAAAATTAGCCCCGAAAAGGAAATTGGCAGCAGTTGTATAGAGCATGCTGTTATGTTTCTTAATGTGGTCACAAAATGTGACTAGCTGTCTTTGTTCCTGAGATATATGCAAAAACAGCTATTTTTTGTGCCTTTTTGTGTTTTTTCCAATAAGAAATACATCTGGTCACATGATTTCAGTATATTTAGAAATGTCTAAGAAGGGGCTACAATTCATGTACTGTGGGAAAAAGTTCCCAAATAAGGAATGTGAACTTGCCCTAAACTTCCTGGGTACTTCAAAGCTTCTGGTAAACAATGGTAAACTTTCTCTCTTGAACTTGAACCACCATCATCTTGCTTTGCTGGCACCTTGTTCACCTCATTGTGACTCAACCACTCATGCTACTGCTACAATTCTTTTTGCTATGGCTTCTAGCCTTTCTCTGCTACACTTCTATGCCCTCTGTCTTCTCTTCCAAGACCTGGAAGATGCTCAGATCTGGAAATACTGGTGTTAGCTCTGAACTTGGTCACTTTTGGCCATGTAAGTGTCTATTTCTATATTTCTGTAGGTACTCTGCTAATCTTTCTATATTCTAGATCAACAAACTACCTGTTCTCTGGCTACTTTAAGCCCAGAAGGTATGTAACTTGCTCTTTTTAGCACATATCCTTAAATTTAATATGTTTAACCCAGAAAACACATCATTGGCCTTCTGCCAATCAAATCCTATGGATTTTTATGCCACCTCTTCCTTAAACTATGGTAAGTCCTTATCTTGATCATATGCAACTTAGGACTGAGCAATCTCTTAGATATTCTAGACTGGGATCAAGGGAGTTTTTCCAACTACCTTTATCCCAGTATAAATCTGAGGACTTGTCCTTGGATTTCTATGATAGAGGTTGATTTCAACCCAAGCCCGTTGGCACTGTTAATAGAGATTGTTATCAATCTGAGCCCGTTGGCACCCAACCATTTGGTTGATCCCCTTCCATTTAACATGGTTGAGGAGATGATATGTGATACACATGTCCTTCCATCTATGGTTGGCAAATTGAGAAACAACAGAGATGCCCTTCCATTTATGGTTGAGGAGACAGGCCAAGTGGCTTACTCAAATATGAGAGTTGATAAGATGTATATGCATACATCAGGGGTATCACCCTTGTTATATTGGAATGCACAAAGCTCATGGTCAGAAACTTTGAACTTGAAAAATGGTGGCTTTTCTATCTGTCTTGAACTTAGCCTTGAGCTATGTAAAAGTGACTACACATTTTCTGAATATGTAGATTTAAAACTTCATAAGATATGGTTGCATCTGAGATCTTCTCCACTGTTGGAATTATATGTCAGAGCTTTTTTTACTCTTCTCAGATTATTTGATATTATTTCTCAAAGAGATTTACCCTCAGTAAAATGCCAGGAACTTGGTTTGAAATTGAAAAGAAATATATTGAGATCTCATGACTTTGCTGCTCTTATCAAAAGAATTGGTGGATACTTTACTATTTTGAACTTTGCAAAGTACATTGTATCTTTTATAACATTCCACCATGTCTCAGCTTTGCAGCACTTCAAGTTCTCAATAAAAAACACAAAAAACTGGTGTATCATGATACTTGCTCTATCTGTAGTATTCTTTTTGGAGCTGGATCTTCCAGGTTTTAAACCAACACAAAGTTTTGATCAACATGATGACTTGGTGAATAAAAATGAAATATTGGGGGGTGGCCCTGCAGGTATATTTTCAGCTGAGAAGCTTTCTGCATTTGCTATAAATAAGACTTGTGTAAGAGGGCCATTGCAAGCATGGCAGATACGAGTCCTTTTTATATTCAGGAAGCCACAATGCAGCACCACAGCATTCACATTTTTGATTATTTAAGATGAATCCAGGAGGAATCTATAAATATTCAAACTATGTACCTGAATCTGAAGTTCATACACTACAGAGTATCAAGAGTCCAACTTTACTTTGTAAGATGCCACTTACAGAGCTCATCTCCCACTTAAGCATTCCTAACTTGAAATTTATTGCTCAATGCCATAACATCAAAATTCAGTCCAAGTCAAAAAGCTTAGAAATTCAGAGAATTATTGAAAGTCACAAGTGTAAATCATGTGAAGAATATGTAGAAATATTTGAATTTATAGATGAGAAAGACAAGACAGAAAAAAAGAAGGCCAGCAACTTGGAGTCAGTTAAAAAATACCAAGAGAAAAGTTCAGACAAATATAAGGCCAGCAACTTGGAGGCAGTTAAACAACACCAAGAGAAAAGCCCAGAGAAATATAAGACCAGCAACTTGGAAGCAGTCAAAAAACACCAAGAGAAAAGCCCAGATAAATATAAGGCCAGCAACTTGGAGGCAGTTAAAAAACACCAAGAGAAAAGCCCAGAGAAATATAAGGCCAGCAACTTGGAGGCAGTTAAAAAACACCAACAAAAAAATCAAGAAAAATATAAGTTTTTAAACTTGGAAGCAGTAAAGAAATATCAAAAGAAAAGCTTAAACCCAGAATTTCCTCCTGCAGCTCCTTCCCAAAAATTAATGCATCAAATATTTACAAATTTCTGTAAAGATATACATCCAAATCAATTTGAGGAATCTGGATGTGCAGTTTGTGGTCAGTTAACACAAAGTTCAACTCTCAAGAAGCTCACAGAGATGAACTTGGACTTGGATATTCTGATTCAAGATGGCGTTACTCAAGTTGAAAGACAGAGTTCAAGGGATCCCCTCTCTGATATTGAAGGCCCAGTTCTAGACAGTGATTTGGACTCTATATGTCAGACTTGCTATAAAGCTGTATCAAAAGGCAAGATGCCTCTGCTAGCCTTAGCAAATGGCAAATGGATAGGAAAAGTTCCACCTCAATTATTAGAATTGTCATTTGCTGAACAGCTTTTGGTGGCTAGAGTTTGTCATAACAGATGCCTAGTTAGAGTATCCTCAGGAATGCATAAAATGAGAGCCAATGCTATTTCTTTTTCTAATCCTACACCTAAGATCTATGATATATTACCTCCCCCAATAGAGGAAATGGATGATGTTTTAGCCTTTATTTATACTGGTCCTTGCAAGCCAACAAAATCTGACTTTGAGAGAACTCCTCTTTTAGTAAGACATAAAAAGGTGGCTGCGGCTCTAGAGTGGCTTAAATTGAACCACTGTGATTATTTCAATCTGGAAATATCTTATGAAAATCTTGGAGAATATCCTGAGGACAGTCCACCAGTCGTAGTAGATTATAGAGAGTCGTCTTCAAACAAAGATCCTGAGTCTACAGCTATTAATGATATGGAAGAGAAAACTGGAACTGAAACTGGCCAGTGTCCATTTGTAGTTCATGGATTGACTGGTGAAGAATATTCAACAAAAAGCTTAAAAGCACTTAAAGCTATTGCCCTTCAACACTTGACTTCAAATAAAAAGATATTAGCTGTGGGCCATGCACAAGAACCAGAGTCATTATACAATAATCCTCAGTTATTTCCTCAGATGTTTCCATGGCTTTTTCCATATGGCCTTGGAGGAATTGGAAACACACTTCAAAAGGGGCGTCTGTCTGAAATCAAACACAAAAGGCATCTTCTTATGTACCATGACAAGTGCTTTCAAAAGAATTCTCACTTTGCATTAATTGCTTTTAATCATGAGCAAATCAAACAAAGTACATCTTCAGGATACCTGCTTGCTGAGACTCCAAAATTTGACAATATTTCAAAAAGACTTATGGATGTTGATGTTGAAGTTCTAAGTGACTTGATCCAAAGAATGGAAGATGGAGAGAGGGTAAAGCCTGAAACTATTGAAGAGTCCTTGTGTTTTCAGCTTATTAAAGACTTGGATCATGTTTCAGGAAGAGTTCAAGGCTCAACTACTACCAAAAAATATATGCGCAATGAAATCTGGTCTCTCATCTCATTCATTGGAGCTCCATCTTGGTTCATCACATTCTCTCCAGCTGATAACATGCACCCTATATCATTGTACTTTGCTGATACTAAGGAATGGTTTAGTCCATTGTTAAGAGAATATGATGAAAGATACAAATTAATTGCA